AAGAATGTATTATCACATAAAAACGAAGCAACTAAACACTCATGAAAGCATGTTAATAAAGTAAACAAATAAATATTAAGCTTTTTTTTTTTTTGTAATTTTTATCCCTTTGATCATAATGTTCTTATTTTTATATTTTTAATTTTAGAACTCTGCATGCCATTTACCAGATTTAACAGATGATTATAATCGAATCAACCGAACCTGACGAGTCCGGAATAACACTTTTGACTGTATACTTTTACAAGGCCTTGCACAAAAAGGTTGGCACAGAGCTTTTTCTAATTTGCATGCAACTAACCTCCATGGATGATTATCCACACCTTACTTAGTATACAATAATACACTTTATATGCAATGCCTGGTTCCTTTTGATTAAAATGACTATGAATAATTTTATTACAAAATGGTCTTTAAATTAAATTTCGCTATAACAAACTGAGTTGGTTAATCTTGGTTATGGTAACTTGCGATTTTTGGGTGACCAACCCTGCTATTTTTGTTTGGACGCCATTTTTTTTTTCACAAAGCACAGGCTTTTTTTGGCTATCTTGGAATGTACAGGTAGTTTGGCGACTTTTGGAGGCGATAAATGTTACTACCTGGGACTTTTGGTAATAATGTCAGAGTAAGTCATTCTTTGGAGATTCCGATATTTTGTGTAAGGGAAATGAGAGATCATGGATATGTCATGTGAATTAATGGACGAATTACGGTTCTTTAATCGGAAAGGGGGGAATTGGAAAAATATCTGTACTATATATTTTTGTATTAAGCTTCATTGTTGTTGTGTGAATAGTGTTGATAATTTTCGGATTGCATGGCGCTATTTAAAGTGAATTCTAAATTTTTATGCGTTTATCTGATAATCAAAAGAATTGGTTGAATGGTGATGAGTGTAGGTTTAATTGTGGATAAGTATGAATGTCCAAAATGTGGAATGAAATGAGATTGTGTGAAAGGAAGGATATTACTGATAAGTTTGAATGGTGGTGCAAGAAATCTGGTGAAAATGGACATTTTGTGAAACGGAGTGTAATGAAGGGTACGTGGTTTGCTGAAAGTCGTTTGAGTATGGGTGAGATTTTATTAATTTCTTATTACTGGGTGAATAGACTGCCAGTTGACTACTGGATTTCGGATTTAAATTAGCAGGGTACTGCAGCCGATTGGAACTCTTTTCGGTAGGGAAGTGTGCATGCCACGTAATGAAGATTCTGAAGAAGATTAGGTAAGTTAGTATTTTTAATCATTTGAGGATATTATTTTTATGCATTGTCTAATGTAAGGAGTAAATAAAATATGGTATTATTGGAAAATTGTTATTAGCAATGATTTAGTTTAAAGTACTTAGGATTGATTCTAATTTTTATTAATTTAATGTATGTGCTAATTCAGAAGTCAAACAACAAAAATCAGCGTTATATTTACAAAATTTTCACAGGACTAGTTTCGATGGTTTTACGAAACACCATCTTAGCTGCAAAACTGAAGATGTGGTTTGGGAAAACCATCGAAACTAGTCCTGTCAATTTTGTAAATAACGCTGATTTTGTCGTTTGACTTCTGAATTAGTATTTATTCGGCGTGTTATTGTTTCTTAATATTAATGTATTGCTTATTTATATTTTAAGTAGTGTTTTTAATTTAATTATATTTTAATTTAATGATCGTGATTTGTAAGTGTATGTTTTGTAGTATTTTGGAATACGTTTGAGTAGTATACGTTGAGTATTTTCATGCATTTTCGTGAAATTTTCTAATTTATGAGAAAAAAGCAGTGTACATGGATATAGTGAAGAGTGTGCGCAATGCCATTTTTGTGCAATTCTGGGGGATGTTTTTTTTAGTAAAAATAAGTTGACGTGTACATGGTTTAGTGATATTTATTAGTTATTTTGTGAATTTATGTTTGTACAATTTGGCATACGTTTCAGTTGAAGTAAACGTGTATGGAAATAATTTAAATATTTGACACTAAGTAATTTGTAACTATTTTTAATGTTTGCGGTATAAATTCGTTGGTGACGTTTATAATATAATAGATAATTTAGAGGTAAAAGTTTGGGATATTTATTTATTTTATACGTGGAAATGTTCATCCTTGAAAGGTATATGCTTTTTCGCGCTTAGATAATTTCATATATGTGCTTTTTACCGAGTTTAAAGATTCACAAAATTTTCCTGCATTTTCGTGCAAATTTTTATAATTTATGAGAAAATAGGACTGTAGATGGATAAAGTTCAAGTGTAGATGGAGTGTGTGCAATGCCATTTTTGTGCAATCTGGATTTTTTTAAGTAAAATAAGTCGACGTGTAAATGTTTTATGTGTATGTGCTACTCTGAAAAACGCCCAGGATTTGCGATGTGCACTTTTTCCCATTTGCAGTTAATATTTGTCATGATTAGCAGTTTTGTTACATAAAATTTCTAGCATAAGTGTAATTCGTCTCGTAGATTGTTGGAAAAAGTTGTTGAGTAAATAAAAAGAAAAGAAACATCGGTACTATTCCGTTTTGAGAGCCTTAAAAAAATTGCAGCGGAAATGTATGTGCAAAAGCGCCAAATCTAGCAAACGCACCCATTTAAACAGTGCGTCAAATCTAGCATACGCGCTGATTTCAGATTGCGTAAGTTTATATAGTTCTATATTTCTTAAGACGCCATTGAAATACTAGTTTAATTTTTAAATCCTTTTTTAATATCCTATGGATTTAACAATTTGGGAATTGCCCATGACGAAAAGTTGGCAATAGAATTTTGGGTAAAGTGCAGAATCACCCACTTCTTGACGCGTTTTTAAGAATTGCACATACTCGGTATCCATGTGCACATTGACCTATTTTCACTTAAAAATAAAAAATCCTAGAATTGCACAAAAATGGCACTGCGCACACCCTTGACTTTAGCTATGTGCACATCAACCTATTTTCACTTAAAAAGTAAAAGAAAATTTACAAAAATCTCAACTGTTTTTACCCTTGTAAAAAGCGGCAAACAAGTGAGCGATTCTGCACTTTACCGAAAATATTTTCAAAGAAAAGTCATCATTCATTACAAAAATTACTTTTGAACAAACAACGAGATGAAATTATGCTTTAGCGATAAGTGGGTAGCGAATAGCGATGCAGGTATCCGTTCAGTTATGTTTAGCAATTTTTATATAAATTATAAAAATGATCTGAAATAGTTATTTACTCTTACGCTTCCATTCAGTTATGTTTAGCTTTTTTCATATGAATTATAATAATAAAAAAGTATTATATGGAATTAACCTTTCATCTAAATTAAAACATCAATCTTAAATTGTTATTTACTATTATACTTCTTTTCTTGCCACAATATTAGGGTTGCCGCAATTAATTTTGGCAGCATTGGCATCACAATAGTTTGGCGATTTTTTACGGCGCTCGAAACTACTGAAACATGTCTCGGGGTCGACGTAGAGAACCCTGCGAAGCTACTGGTTAGATCTGTACCTAGGGCAGTCTCGCAACGGGGGTATAAATTTATGACTTGGTGGTTCTGAAGGCTCTGGGAAAGGTCACTTATTGGCCGGCCCCGGAGTCTGGCACGTCCTAGCGGCGGCGTGGTTCTAGAACCCGGGGATCTCCCCCGGGGTCGCTGGGTAATGTCCCGCTGCGACGGCTCGACCAAGCGACTGGTAGGAGCATTAGACGACCGGTGCTTGCCTGGGGTGGCGTCCCCAGGTGGTGCGCTGCTCTCTGGAGGTAATAGTGGAGGTTGAACCACCATGACGTGCCCAAAGGGGGAGTGGACCGGAATGAGATTGAGTTCTCGATACGGGGAATGCCCAAATCTTCTTCTTCTTCTACTTCGTGAAGACAAAATGGCGGCGAAAAAATAGAGGGTTGCTGTAGCAGAGTTGGTCGCCAAATTTTCGCCAAAAAATCGCCAAGTTACCATAATCCACAGATCAACCTTTTTTTCCAACAATCTGCTAGCCGAATTATACTTATGCTAGAACTTTTATGGAACAAAAGTGCTTAATCATGACGAAGATTAGGTGCGAAATTGGGAAAAAGTGCAGAATCACCCACTGCTTACCGTGTTTTTAAGAATTGCACATACACGGTATCCATGTACACGTCGAACTATTTTCACTTAAAAAATCATCCTAGAATTGCACAAAAATGGCATTGCGCACACTCTTGACTTTATCCATGTACACTGCTAAAGTCCTAGCTAGTAACCTTTATTGCCTTAACAAAATGTCGCTAAACTACCTGTTACCATATTCCAAAGATTAGCCCTGGAGTTTTGTTTTCATATATGTTTTTGCTTTCGGCTAAAGTGCAGAATCGCCCACTTATTTGTTTGGCACTTTTTACAAGATAAAGAAGTATTAGATTTTTGTTAATTTTCTTTGACTTTTTAAGTGAAAATAGGTCGATAAGTACATGGATAAAGTCAAGGGAGTGCACAATGCCATTTTTGTGCAATTCTGGGATTTTTTTTTAAGTGAAAATAGGTCAATGTGTACATGTAAACCGAGTATGTGCAATTCTTAAACACGTGCCAAGCAGTGGGTGATTCTGTACTTTCCCCTTGCTTTCTTTTCCAATCAAGAGATAGCAGTTCATGTTTTATTTCTTTTCATTATAGAGGGAAAATGCTATTATAACCAACAAGCTTTCTTCTTTACATTCTTTTTGCACATAATCTGTAATTCACTAACTTGTTAGTATCCGAAGAAAGTAGGGTTACAATCTTTGAAACCAATACAGATAATTTCAAAATTATTATTCAAATTTTTCCATAAAATTGTCCACCTTCATGTTTTTAGCAGCTAAAAAAAATGATTAAAGCAGACATCAGTAATTTAGGTTTGAAACTACATAATATAAAAGCTGGTTCTTTGTTTCTACAACACAAGATATTCCTGCCAAAACAGGAAATATTTAACTCTTGGAACAATTTTAATTACAAATGAATTCTGCATGCAACTACTATTTAAAAAGGTTAAAGGTTGCTTACCCGAGCAAATGTTGGAGATTTCTTTCTTTTCAGACGTTAAGGTCAATGCTTTGATTTTGCTTTCTATATAATAACAATAACAGTATATAATAACAATAATACTTTAAAAAAATTTCATTACCATTTTTTAATCATATGTATTCATTAATTTTTTTATTACCAAAAAATAATCATTACTTATAGTTAAGGTATAGTTCAAGAAAAACCGCGACATAAGAAGGAAGCATTAATTACATTATATGATAAAGTTCCTTTTCATCTACAAAGATTTGACTGTAACGTATAATAAAACATTACCTAAGGAAAAGAAATCTGCCATTTTGTCCTTCTTTCCGTCTATCACATCAAGGTGCTGTAATGATTTCTTAGTTGCCTCATGTCAAACATCGCAACGTTCCGTTACTAATTTTTTGGAAAAGACCCTTACCCCGTTCGATTCCCTTTCTTCCCGACAGCAGACCACAATAAACAACTATGGAAGAACCTCGAATAATAGACAGGTATTTAATACAGCCTACGGCTATCAAAAGTACCTCTAGTAGATCCCCAGGCCTCTCTTTGTCTAGATGACACTGCAAAAACTTTCTAATGTCATTTTTCCCCGTGGGAAATGAATGCACTCTGTAAAGAATTATATATATCCAGATTTTTGACTAGAGTTGAAAAAAAATGTCAACTGATTACTTTGCTTAGCTATTCACAGAGTGTAATTAAGAGAAAAAGTAAAACTTTAGCCAGACCTAGCCACCTTGAAAATACCTAAATAATAGTGAAAAATAATATTTTTCTGGCAATTTGGAAACCTGAAGTTAAAAAGGGTCCAGAACATAAAAATAAAGGAAATAATAAAAAAAGGCCAGGAAACGACATGAAGATCCAACGAGTTAGCGCTCCTCGAATCTTTTTTTTTTTTTAGCTACTATAAGCAATGTTTTTGAGAGGATATTCTTACGGTAAACGAACTCCACTGTTATATTCATTCAGTCTTACATTTATTTCATTCAATAAACAAACTTCACTGGTATATCCAGTTTATATTTATTGTCTTATATCTTAGTAGTTCAAATTATTAAAATACAGATATCACAACAGAGTTTTTTGTTTCGAAATTGAGAAAATTTGATGAAAAATGACAAATGATATGACGAATAAAAAATTGGTTCTTATCTTTTAAGTCTTTATTGCGATTTGAACGAATTCATAATAGTACACTAGAGGATTTTCTAGACCTAGAAGACCTTCTAGTACATCATAATAATGGTATTGACAACAGCACCCACTGCCAAATTCGCCGTCGCTAGCGCGGACAAGATTGACTTCTCACCCGCTCAAACACTTCTTACTACACTGCTCTTTCGTTTCCCGCTGGCCCAACCAGCGGCCGAGCGGTAAAGTCGCTGAACACTGGTAGTTCGGTCCGAGGTTCGAATCCCGCGAACGGGCTGGCTGCATGAGTGTTTTCGTGGTTTTCCTCATGTGTAACGTGTATACGAGCCAGTTTCCCCTTAGAAAGTGCTCCACGAAGGCATTCCTCCTCTTAGGCAGATAGCCCTCGAGGCTTTGCCGTAATTAAATAACCTAACCTAACCTAACGTTTCCCGCTAGATTGCTAATCAGAAGCCGAGTAAGAATATCTGTCTACATCTTGACACTCGAGAATAAAATATGATCTGCGTCGTCGTCGTACATATGATGGCCTAGTAAAAAGGATAAGAATTTTATTAAATTGTAACTTTTTTTAAATTTATTGCATAGGATAGGAATGGTCATAGAATTAAATCGGTTTATGAGTCCCTTTGTGGATCGTATGCTGGCAGAGATCATACACGGCCAAATACAGGAATAAATCATTGCCCTCCCCAGACTCGAATCGCTTGCAACGCGAATGATCTTTCGCGAGTGGTTCGTTTCTGATGTTGTTACACCACATGACCAATGACCAAGGAAATATAGAACCTAGAGCTACTAGAATTACCGGGTAGCCATAATTAAACTGACAGTGCTCACAGTGTTCTGTAGCGCGATCTGTTTGCGAGAATGACGCCACATTTTGTAGGAAGATTAAACAATACGGGGGACGAAGGATTCCGCGAAAAAACAAATTAGTTCAAAACGTCACCGCTATAAGAAAATTTGGCGCTGTGTAATAGAAAATGGAGTGTTAACAAATGCAAAACAATACGGAAATTACCTTTTATTTTGCATTCAAATGAGGTTCAATGTGGCTGCCGTTGTTGGGGATCATATATTGCATTCTGTGCACAGTATGTACAACAGCAGAAAGTAACATGTCTGCAGGAATCTCCCGTTCAGTCCATGATATGTTATCCTTCAACGTAGCCAGGTCCTGGACCACACCTTAATAGACCTTGAACTTAAGGTAACTCCATAGCCAGAAGTCGCATGGGGTAAGATCAGGGGACCGAGGTGGCCATGCAGTTGGAAAGTAGCGGCTAATGACTCTTTCTGATGTGAATTTCTGTCCTAGCATCTATTGCACCCGTGCAGCAACGTGTGGAGGGGTTCCATCTTGCATGAAAATGATTTCCCACAGGCATTGTCTTTGCTGAAGTGCCGGAATGACAAAGCTGTTCAACATGTGGCGATATTTCTCTCCGGTAACAGAACAGGTTTCTGGTCCTGTTCCGCTGTGAATCCACACCAAATAGTTACCTTTGGTGAATGTAAGGCAATTGCTGTGACTGCATGTGGTGATTTGTCATCCCAAATTCGGCAGTTCTGAGTATTCACAGTTCCATTCAGGTAAAAGTGGGCCTCGCCTCCAAAAAAGATTTTCCACGGATAAGTATCATCCACCTCAATTCTGGCAAGAAAGGTGAGAGCAAAAGGCAATCGCTTATCATGGTCGGGGTACAGTAACTCCTGTACACGGCTGATCTTTTACGGATAGAAGTTGATAATCTTTCATAAGATTTTCCATACCGTACTGTAAGGCATATTCATATTCCAAGCTACTCCGCGAGCGCTAGAGGTGGCAGTAATATTGTCTGGTCCTCTGTCGACAATCGCCGTGGCAACTGCTCCGATTGTATCCTGTGGTACAGGTTTTTATCCTCTACCTGACTGAACCTTCAGAGAACCTGTTTTCTCAAACGTCCCAACCATTGCTTTTAGCCCATTAACTGACACAGGACCGTTACCTTTACGCTTTTTTTTTTGTGCGTTCTAAAAGCACGAAGAGTGTTTGACGCGTTGCAATGGTTGAGATAAAAGAATTTGACCAGTAACTCATGTGATGATGTAGGCAACGAAACTTTGATTTATGTACACCACTGTATCTTTCCACACAGTTCCTTGCTACTGCATGCTTTTGGTTATAATTTTCTTCTATATATGAAGAGGGATTTATATATATGGCTGTCAAAAGCCAAAGTTCCAACGGATAATCTTTATCACTTGAAATACTAAAAAATAAATATGTGGAAATAAAAATTCCTTGTACAGGTGGGGGAATCTAATAGCAGATTTCAAGAAGAAAAAATAAATAGTCTCACCCATTACATTGTAAAATCATTTTAAACTCATTAATCCGAAAGAAAAAAAAATGCATAATTATTAAGTACAACAATTTGATACATGGAAGAAAAGAAGTCTACAAAAGAATTGTCTTTTATCTGCATTTATTTATTTATTTACAATTTCTTAACTTGCATGTGTTACTAACATGCATATAAATTAGGTACATTTCATGTTTAATAAAATTTAGTATCTATTTCTTTCACATTCCACCAATATTTTAATTACTACTTACTGAAAAAAAAGGGTATGAGTAAATACTGCTAAAGAACTAAAAATGAAATCATACTTTTATTAGCATATATCCACTTGCATGTTGATATTGATAATATAATACTTAGTATAATATACTGTATAAAAATACTAGCACATAAAAAATTATATTTATTATTATTCTATAACAAGATATAAATAATCCATCTATAATTTGAAAGAATAATATTATAGCAATAATAATAAATCATTCTAAATGCAGACAAATTAATCAAACTTGCTACAGACTGAAAAATTGGTACTCTGTTATCGGGACTAGATTAAGGAATGTATATATGTATGCATGTACAGTCGGTCACAAAAGTATTCGAACACCGGTACCCTATCAGAAAATGACAAGATGGCATTTTTTTTTCTCTTTCTCTCTGTGTGTCGTGTTATTCCATCCTAGGTTTTCTTCTCCCCCCCATCTTGGAAAAAACTGGAAAAAATTGGTCACGATCTCTTTTTGAATGGGGAGATGCCATTTTGAGAAAAAGCTGACGACCCTATCTTGGAGAATGAACATGACCGCTCTACACACCCTTTCACTCTCTCTCTCTCTCTCTCTCTCTTTGAATTGGGAAGCCATTTTGGGAAAAGCGCACCCTCTTCTTCTGATCTTGGAGAACTGGAAATGAACGCTCTCTACACGATCTCTCTTTGAATTCAGAAGGTATTTCAGGACCTTCTAACCTTGGAGAACTGAAATGAACGCTCTACACTCTCTCTCTCTCTCTTTGAATCGGGTAGCCATTTTGGAGGATCCGCCCCCATCCTAACCTTGGAAAACTGAAATGAACGCTATACGCTTTTTCACTCTCTCTCTCTCTCTCTTTCTCTGAAATGGGTAGCCATTTGAAAACTCCCTAACTTTGGAAAAAACAGAAATGAACGCTCTACACAATCTCTCTTTGAAAATGGGGGTGTCATTTTGAGACCTCCCCCCTAAACTTGAAAAAAAAAACTGAAATGAACGCTCTACACTTTCTCTCTTTGGACATGGGTAGCCCTTTGGGGACCCTCTCCTCTTGGTAAAAAAAAAGAACTGAAGTGAAGGCTCTACAAATCTCTCTTGGAATGGGATCCATATTTCGGGAAACGTGGATCACCTCATGCTGGAAAACTGAAGTGAACCACCAAGATTGGACTCTATATAATATTTTTTTTAATTGACATCATGACCCTCCTCCAATTTGTTATTAAAAAAATTGTTTTTTTTGTTTTGGTTTTTATCCCATTTCCGATGTAATTTCAGAAATGCAATTCCATAACAGTTCAATTTCATTCGAGGTTAAATGATCTAAAAGTCCATATAATCATTCCATACGGGAAGGGCTGGATCCTCACAAGGCTGTCTTGAAACACTTGGAGTCTCTTTGGGATGAGTGGAGGGATCTAGGATGTCTGGACCCGGCTGCGATTCTACCTCCATGATTTCTGGACCCGTTGGAACTTGTAGACCCGGCTGACATTCTACCTCTACGATGTCGGGACTTTTTGAAGCTTGTGGACCCGTCTGACATTCTACCTCTACGATGTCGGGACAGGTTAGAGAAGAAGAAGAAGAGGATACTGGAAGAGGTTCTGTCTGTGAGGAGTCCAAAAGAGGTTGCCTGTTTGAACAAGTCGGGGAAGAAGAAGAAGAAGCTTCTGGGTTCTGAAGCGGATCTTGCACGCCAGGTAGGTTCCGGTAAGTCGACCGTTTTTTAAGAGGTAATTTTTTTTCTTCCTCCTCATCTTCAATTGTGATGACTTCAATTTCATTCCGTTGCCGGGTCGATTTTGTTTCGGGCCATGACGGTTTGGTCCAGCTCCTCTTATCATCTAAGGAAGGGATGGGTAAAGGTGGCGGAGGGTTCTCTTCTTTTTCTTGAAACATCATCGGCGATTGGAAAGAAATCTCCTCTTTCAATTGTTTCCAAAGCGAGTACGAGCACCGATCGACGAGAAAGAGACTCTTCTGGGTTGTGACGATGAGATATTGCGTTTTCGGGGGAACGACATAGTTTTGAAAAGGTCTTAGAATATATTTCTTATATTTCATCCTGTCGC